AGATAAATGTCTGGTGCTACGATACAAATTAAATTAAGGGAAGCAGTGATGGCAATGATTCTTGCTGGACATCAGGGAATGGAGAGAATAAAACAATGTGGACGGAAATATATGTGGTAGCCGGGAATGAATAAAGATATTGAAAACATCAGCCGAGCATGGGTCAGATGTAATTCTTGGGATCCGATTCCTCGAAAAGACAAAGAAAATGTGTGTCCGAAATCAACTCAGCCTTGGGAGCGCATACACATGGATTTCTTTGACTTGGAAAGCAAAGTTTATATACTCGTGGTGGATGCCTATTCAAAGTGAGTGGAATATGAGGAAGTAAGAGAATTAACAACTCAAGTAGTAATCAAAACATTGAATCTATGGGCTAAATTCGGAGTCACTACAACAATAGTATCGGATGGAGATCCAGCTTTTATTAGTAACAATTAAAGGTCTTTTGTGCGGAAACTGGAGCAGAACACATTTTGTCGCCACCGTATCCCACGAGTTCAAATGGGCAGACGGAGAGGATTGTAGCTGTGGTCAAGAATTGGTTGAGTAAATCAAAAGATGGTGGCGGATAGATATGTTAAGCTAAGATGTATTACAATAACAGTAAAAAGGGGGAGGAGCCATCGCTAGCGGAGAAGTTTTCAGGAAGGAGAACCAGAATTTGGTTGGACTCGCTTAGACCAGCAGTGCAAAGAAGGGCTGACCGAAACAACAGAGGAATCTGGATTTATGGTAGGACAGACAGTATGGGCAAGAGTATTTGGGGGTAACAAAAAATGGGAGTCAGGGGTGATTTTAGAAAATAGTAGGCGCAAACTAAATAGAGTAGAATTTGTGGGCGGAAGAGAAGGTCTTAGACACATGGATCAGCTCCGCAGAAGTATAGAGCCCGAAAGGTTGAGAAGGGTTTCAAGGGATGTGAGCGGTCAAATTTCATCAATATATGGTAATAAAAAGGAAAAAGAAAAGGTATAAGAGGATGTATATATTATTAGTAATTAGTTAATAAATGAATAATTTTTCCTCAGGGCTAGTATTATCCATATTGGCCTATCATAATGGGAACATTTTGAGAGTGTTATCAGAGTTTTTTATTTTAAAAAAGAAAAGTGAAAACGTTTTTTTTTGTTTTTGCAAATTTATTGTTAGGTAATAGGGTTTTAAAATTGGTGAGATTAAGCGGGAATTAGGAGGTACATCTATTTGGAAATTCTTAGACTAATGTGTGTTTGTCTTTGAAATTTGCATACAAATTGAAGGGGTATTTAATATGTATGTTTAATATATATTTAAATAAAAGGGAGATTATGAATGTGCTTTCAAATTGGGTTAGTACTGAATAAATAATGAGGGGCAAGCTTGCATAGAGAAGGGGAAAAAGTAAATATGAGAAAGTTTTTGTTTAAAAAAAAAAATTTTTATTAAATGAGTTAAGAAGAGTCAATTTGATTTTATTAATTTCGTAAATATAATCAATTTTAAATATTAGAATAAATTTGACAAGATGGAATTGGGCCAACGAGGAATGGGAAAGAAAGAGGTAATAAATCATAGAAGTAGGGAAAAGGAAGGGAGTTAAGATATAATTAGGTTCGGGAAAATGAGGATGATACTTATTTTAAAAAAGTATAAAAGGACGAGAGAAAGAGTTTTTTTGAAAAAATTAAAAAGTTATAACGTTCTGGGACATTCTAATATAAAAGAAAATAAAAAGGTAAAAATGATGTTGAATTTTTTTTGAATAATTAATTGAGTTCAAATTGTATTAAGAAATAATTGTTAAAATTTTGTTTTATCATGATTATAAAAGTAAAATTTTTAGAATGTTAGGTATAAAAGTAAAAATATTTTTGTTGTACCGATTGAATTTTTGGAGCTGTTATTTTTTTTAAAAAAAGGAGAGGGGAATTCAAGGGTTATAAGGTTAGGGTTAAAGATTATTGAGTGTAAACTTAAAAAAGTGTAGGATTTGCGACAATGAGGAAAAGTCGGGTTTTCGAACACGTGGAAATACATTTCATAATAGCCCTTCGGCAAACGCCCTTATATACGTTCTCACCACAAAGAGCACCGCGACTCCAGCAGGATAGAGGACGGGTATAGCCGACGATCCAGAGTGGAATACCGCCAATGTTTTGGATGCGGGGAGCGGAGGTATTTACGACGCTGGTGTCCCCGAGATAGTCCAGAGAGGGAAACCGTTCTGGGTCAACTGGGCCGGTGATGGTTGAGGTATATCATGGCGAGAGAGGCTGCCTAATCAAAATGAGGAAAGGTGAGGTTAGCCAACTTTAAAGGAATTCGTGTGGCCAACAGCCGATATGACCAGAGATGCGATAGTGCTGGAACGAAGGGAAACTGCAAGGACTGGGGAAGAAGATTCCAGGAACAGGAGGATGCTGATGAGACGACCTTGTGGCAGAATTTGGCGGGAGTGGACTGGAACGAGGAGGAGTTGACGGGAGCGCGAACTGAGAGGACGGAGGAGAGAGATGAGTAGGCCAGAGCAAATTGGTCAGGAGAATTAGATGACCTATTAGAGTATATATTATCGGATTCGGAAAGGGAAGAGAGTGGGATTTTTTAAGTTAGAGCTTTGTTATCTTGGTTATATTTTTTTTAACGATTAAATATGTTTATTTATTTATAGTTTTTTTAGTTAATAGATTATCGCGAAAAAAAAAATAAGATATATTTTTAATAAGATTTTTTTTTTTGATTATTCTGGTTTATATTATTATTAATTATTCTACATGGTTTTTTTTGATTATTGATATAGATATTATTTAATTATTAGAGATATATATATTGTGTGAAAATTAAAAAATAAAATCATTATTAGTTTTGACAAAAACTTTAGGATATTGTTTGATATAAGAAAACTAACAACGAAAAAAAAAGTATGTGAATTTTGTATACCTTATTTTAGAATTTGGAAACTATTATATCTGCTATATTAGATCTTAGTGCGTACCTCTGTCTTATAATATCAACATTACAAACTATATTAAATAATTTTAAGAAAATTTTCGATGATTATAAAATAAAATGATGCATCAGTCAACCATTAATACAATCAAATATGGCAGTTTTTTTTAAACAGAATGTCTTGTTAATTTCTGAGTTGAAACATATTTAAAAGCCAGAATCACGCCGAATAAAAATCCACTAGAATGGTGGAAACTAGAGATCTGCAAAAGTAGGCCGGGCTTATTTTAAGAAATCGGGTTCGGGCTGGGCCAGGCCTATTGGAAATTTTTTTAATATATCTAAATTTATTAATTTTATGTTTAATTTTTAATGTAAAATAAAAATTTTTGATTTTATTATAGAAACTAGACGCCATATAACATGTATTTTTTATTTTGAGTAACTATAAAAATTAATTTCTATATTTAAATAAATTCGGGCCGGACAATTAAATTTTTATTTCGGGTTCGGGTCTGCAAAACTTTTTAAAAATATTTCGGGTTCGGGTGGGGCTTGCAATTTTTTTTTTATAAAATATCGGGCTGGGCTTGAAAAATTAGGCCCGGTGCAGATCACTGGAAACTACACGGAGATAGTTTCCCCGTTTTATCTAAAATGGCGAGACATATTATCAATATAAGGATCTTCAAACCCATGTGAGCGACTTTTTTTTGTTGGAGCGCATATGGTTCCCAAATATAGAATGTCGTTTAAAGAGGATACAATCCAAAAAACTTTGTGTTTAAAATATTGGTTGTCAGATTTGTCTTCTACATGATATAATATTATATTGATTTTTCTACATTTTATATAAATATTCTATATGCGTATGCTTCTATTTTATCTTAATAATAAAATTTATAAATTTTTAATTTATGGTTAAATAAAATTTTCAAATCGAATAATCATTTTATTATTCGTACGAATAATGAATTATTCGATTCGAATTACGAATAATGCAACTATTCGATAAGATTCGTATTTTTATAGGTAAATACTAAATATAATTATTCAGAAAAAAAAAATATTCAATTTATGATGATAAAATTAAATCCCACTAGAAATTGAACAATTAAGAAGACACGTTCAATTTAGGAGTATTTTTGTATCTTATTAATATTCAATTTAAAGTTTTACTATAAAAGACTATCATGAATTCTTTATAAGGGATTATGAAAACGTTAGTGATATTTTTTAAAAATATTATTTCATCAATATTAAAATTTATTGACTTATACCTTTAAGTTTCTTATGCAATCTGCTTTACCTCCTTGCATGAATTAATGCATTATCATGCCTGTAAGTTTCTTATCAAATTCTGTTCTCTCGATATATAATCATTTATCTGAAATAAATCCTTGGTGTTAATATTTGTTTTGGTCTGATGAGTAATAACCATAATTAAACTGATTTAAAAAAGATCCAAATTGAGATTTTAGGCAAACAAATATAGAGCTCCAAGTTTTGGAAAAAATGTCCTTCATCTGACAAAATTTTGAGATATATTTGTTTAGCTGAAATATTTTGTCATTCTTTAAAAATAAGTTAATGCAAAGTTTTTAACAACATTTGTCCTGTCTAGTTTCAGATAAAATTTTATTTTATACCTCAATATATGATTACAAGATGTCATATCTTCCAGTAAGACAAATAACAATGAGACAAAATGTGGCCTTGAGAGTTGAAACCAAGATTATTAAAAATAACAGTTTTTATATGAAATAAATATTTTCAATATAAATCTAGGCATAACAGACCTAATGGGCTGGACCTTGCTGGGAAATTTTTGGCAACTTAATCAGGGGGGTGGAACTATTAAGTGGAATTTTTCTCCATAAATATTATTGGAGATCTTTAGGTCCACTTATTGCATACCTTTAGCCATGCTACTGGACCTAAAAAAAGATAACAAAAATGAATATAATGAAATGAATAATAATAAATTTGTGGTATCCAAAAATAAGTTATTTATTATAAAAATAAATTAATTTATCAAAATCAATAAATATTAGTTTATAGCACAGGTAATATAATTTGTTGTAAAAATTCATTTCTAGTAAATATAAAAAAATAAAAATGGCACAAGATTTATAAAAATTTGGGTAAAAATTTTTGAAATTATAAAAATATGAGCAGATTAATAAATGCAATTATGATTTAATAAAGTTTATATTACATTTAAAATAATTTTGCATTGTTAAAAACATATAAAAAATTAATATAATATAACAGTTTGTTCGGGTTTACAAATATCTTTATTATACATCCCATATTTGTTTAGATAAAAGTCATTATTAATACTTCCATTTTGAGTATTCTTTTTGCAACATTTTAGTTCAGATAAAAATATATTTATAATGTTAATTATAAAACAAAGCATAGCTCCAAACATTAACCAATATGACCAACCAAATTGAGTTCTATTTCCATCTGCTTCAAAACCAGATCTTTTCTCTTCTAAAACCAGTACATTTTGTCTTATATCTCCAAAATATAATATAGTGAACAATAGAGTAGATAAGAATGTAAAAGCCACTAAAGAAACAATCATTTAAGTTTATAAATATAATCTTACATGACAATGCATTCCATAAATATAGTCCCATTGTGCCTGCCATTTTATCAATAGGATATATAATTGAGTTGATAAGGGCAAAAAATACAGAAATTATAGCCCATATCATGGCAATTATTAGTAATACTATTGAAGAAAGCCATAATTCATATGTAAATATTCTTGTATCAATATATCTTGGTATAACTATAATTGCTAATATAAAATTATAAATCAATTTTATTACCTTTTATTTCGTTAGTTCGCCCTTCTGTACTAAATCCAGCGTCTAGTGTTTTTTCACCCCTCCATAGTCCAAAATTAATTTTGCTATTCTCATATATAAAGCTATTATTTGGCGTATTTACAACTCTAATCGGTCTAGATATAATCCAGTAATTAGTGCCAAATGATAATCCCAATAAAAATATGGAAACGATGCCAATAATGAAAGACAAAAAAATACATGCTCTTCGTTTCTTAACCATAGAAATTAAAAAAACGTTTAAAGGTTTTACACACCTTAAGCTATTATTACAAAATGTCAATTCAAAATAAAAAAATATTTTGACTGGTATAAAATTTGACATGACAGATATAATGTCAATCAATAAAACTAATTTTATAAATTTGGTTTTAAATCAGCTGTATACATGATAAAAAATATTAACAAAATCGCCGTTTTAAATTTATATAAAACTATATTGAAAGCAGCTAAAATTTGGAGACAAGATGAATACCTAAATATGAATTTGCAAAATATCATAATAAATGAAAGAGAATATATAAAAACTGAAGCCCATAAATTATTTAAGTATCATAAAAATATAATTGATAACAATGAAATAAACGAGAGAATTAAGGAAGGCAAAGCTCGTTTAGATATAGCATTGCATTACAAAAATCCATATCCAAGAATTGTTTATCTCCCTGCAAATTCTACCTCATATATTAAAATTTGTAAATCAAACATTAAAATCAAAAAATATATCAAGCAAATAAATCAAGAAAAGCTTAGTAAACCTATATACATAAAATCATATGTAGATGATAAAGATTAAATATTTGAAGGTACTCTATAAAGGTTGAGATATATTTTATAGATAAAATAATGATGTTATTTACATTCAAAGAAATAAGTCATGTGAATGATCTTTCACAAATAATATAATAAAGTATTCTAACAGATACATTTAATTTTAAAATAGTTTTACCATAAAACGCCTAATTTTAGCCAAAATTATATAACAATATATATCACATCTTTTTTCTGATTATTTAGTATTTTATTATTTCAGCATACCCAACAATTAAATGTACAACTTATTCAGGTGGATTAATTTATTGCAATTCTATAGCAAGACATTTGAATTTAAAAGATATACATCCATATATAATCTTAGGCCTGACAATATATGATACCATAATGATAAAGCTATATAATTAATTTATTAACAAACTAGCTAATTTTAAAAAACGTTTTCCCATTGAAGGATGCCAAGATATTAATTATAAAAGAGGTGTGCTGGGCATTTCACTGATCTGATATTCACACAAGCCAATACCTATCTCATTTATATTTATATTGATTTTTTATTTTCTATCAGCCAACATAATAAAAAAAAATAATATTTTCTTTGCTAAAAATAACTAACTATAAACTATAGGCAAATTAAAAAAAAATTCTCATGGCCCAGTCAATATTTGGATCATTATCACAAATTTCACCAAAAGTCAATCATCTCATTTAAAATATGGGAAATGCTTAATGGCTAAATATATTGCATAAGATATTTTTAAATAATATTTTTGTTGCAATTAATATAACATAAATAAATTTTTAGCTACTATTTCTTTTTGAATATTTCAATAAAATAAATTGAATTTAAATATAATTATATTGACAAACAAATCATAAAATAACTAACAACAATATTTAATTGGATCAGATTTTTTTAAAAAAAGCTTATTATCAATATTTAATATTGTCACATCCTTTATTAGAATTATTATATTCATATTTTCAAGGGCACATAATTTGTTTTTATGAATTTTTAAAAAAATCTTAGTATTTTAAGAAATGGCCTTACCAGAATTGTCTGCTGTGGGGGGGGGGGCAACCAATTTACTTAGGGGGGTATAATATTTTTTTTGAATTAAAATAAATATAATTAAGCATTCACAAATTTTTTGCTATTTTTATTTGTAAATGTGAATATGAATACAAAATAATACTCGACAATCTTTTTTTTAAATTTTAACATAAATGAATTAAGTACTAAATTCGGGCATGACTAAAATACACACCCCCTAAAACTACGCGCCTTTTTTTATTTAAAAAAAATGGTAACATAGTAAAATTTAAAAAAATTAATTTTTTTACATGATTAAAATACACTACCTCTATTAAAGAAGCTTAATTTATAAAAAAAATGAACGTAGAATCACATAGAGCTTATTAAGTGTAAAAAAATGTTAATATCATATTTTAAAACTTTTTATAACTTAGTAAGCTTTTGAAAAAACAAATTATTTTTGACTAAACTACGCGCCCCCTATCAAAGAAGCTTATTTCATAAAAAATTTAAGCATAATCCTATTAATCTCATTAAGAGGAATCAAAAAATGTTAATATTAAGTTTATAAATAATTTATAACTTATTGAGATTTGGAAAAAACACTTAATTTCTTCTTTTTTTGATTAAACTACGCGCCCCCTTTAAATATACATTATTTTTAAAAAATGAATACAGAATCATGTATAACTTTTCAAGTAGATTCAGAAAATGGTATTATTTATTTTTTAAAAATATTATTATTATCAAAAAAAAATTTTTGATTAAACTACGCGCCCCCTATCAAAGAAGCTTATTTTATAAAAAATTAAAGCATAATCGTATTAAGCTCATTAGGAGGAATCAAAAAATGTTAATATTAAGTTTATAAATAATTTAAAACTTGAGATTTGGAAAAAACACTTAATTTCTTCTTTTTTTACTAAACTACGCGCCCCCGTTAAATATACATTATTTTTAAAAAATGAATACAGAATCATGTGTAACTTTTCAAGGAGATTCAGAAAATGGTATTATTTATTTTATTTTTAAAAATATTTTTATTATCAAAAAAAAAATTTTTTGACTAAACTACGCGCCCCTTTAAAAGAAGCTTATTTCATAAAAAATTTAAGCATAATCGTATTAAGCTCATTAGGAGGAATCAAAAAATGTTAATATTAAGTTTATAAATAATTTAAAACTTGAGATTTGGAAAAAACACTTAATTTCTTCTTTTTTTACTAAACTACGCGCCCCCGTTAAATATACATTATTTTTAAAAAATGAATACAGAATCATGTGTAACTTTTCAAGGAGATTCAGAAAATGGTATTATTTATTTTATTTTTAAAAATATTTTTATTATCAAAAAAAAATTTTTTTGACTAAACTACGCGCCCCTTTAAAAGAAGCTTATTTCATAAAAAATTTAAGCATAATCGTATTAAGCTCATTAGGAGGAATCAAAAAATGTTAATATTAAGTTTATAAATAATTTAAAACTTGAGATTTGGAAAAAACACTTAATTTCTTCTTTTTTTACTAAACTACGCGCCCCCGTTAAATATACATTATTTTTAAAAAATGAATACAGAATCATGTGTAACTTTTCAAGGAGATTCAGAAAATGGTATTATTTATTTTATTTTTAAAAATATTTTTATTATCAAAAAAAAATTTTTTTGACTAAACTACCCGCTCCTTTAAAAGAAGCTTATTTCATAAAAAATTTAAGCATAATCGTATTAAGCTCATTAGGAGGAATCAAAAAATGTTAATATTAAGTTTATAAATAATTTAAAACTTGAGATTTGGAAAAAACACTTAATTTCTTCTTTTTTTACTAAACTACGCGCCCCCGTTAAATATACATTATTTTTAAAAAATGAATACAGAATCATGTGTAACTTTTCAAGGAGATTCAGAAAATGGTATTATTTATTTTATTTTTAAAAATATTTTTATATCAAAAAAAAATTTTTTGACTAAACTACGCGCCCCTTTAAAAGAAGCTTATTTCATAAAAAATTTAAGCATAATCGTATTAAGCTCATTAGGAGGAATCAAAAAATGTTAATATTAAGTTTATAAATAATTTAAAACTTGAGATTTGGAAAAAACACTTAATTTCTTCTTTTTTTACTAAACTAAGCGCCCCCGTTAAATATACATTATTTTTAAAAAATGAATACAGAATCATGTGTAACTTTTCAAGGAGATTCAGAAAATGGTATTATTTATTTTATTTTTAAAAATATTTTTATTATCAAAAAAAATTTTTTTTGACTAAACTACGCGCCCCTTTAAAAGAAGTTTATTTCATAAAAAATTAAAGCATAATCGTATTAAGCTCATTAGGAGGAATCAAAAAATGTTAATATTAAGTTTATTAATAATTTAAAACTTGAGATTTGGAAAAAACACTTAATTTCTTCTTTTTTTGATTAAACTACGCGCCCCCGTTAAATATACATTATTTTTAAAAAATGAATACAAAATCATGTATAACTTTTCAAGTAGATTCAGAAAATGGTATTATTTATTTATTTTTTAAAAATATTTTTATTATCAAAAAAAATTTTTTTGATTAAACTACGCGCCCCCTATCAAAGAAGCTTATTTCATAAAAAATTAAAGCATAATCGTATTAAGCTCATTAGGAGGAATCAAAAAATGTTAATATTAAGTTTATAAATAATTTAAAACTTGAGATTTGGAAAAAACACTTAATTTCTTCTTTTTTTACTAAACTACGCGCCCCCGTTAAATATACATTATTTTTAAAAAATGAATACAGAATCATGTGTAACTTTTCAAGGAGATTCAGAAAATGGTATTATTTATTTTATTTTTAAAAATATTTTTATTATCAAAAAAAAATTTTTTTGACTAAACTACGCGCCCCTTTAAAAGAAGCTTATTTCATAAAAAATTTAAGCATAATCGTATTAAGCTCATTAGGAGGAATCAAAAAATGTTAATATTAAGTTTATAAATAATTTATAACTTATTGAGATTTGGAAAAAAACACAATTTCTTCTTTTTTTGATTAAACTACGCGCCCCCGTTAGATATACATTATTTTAAAAAAATGAATACAGAATCATGTATAACTTTTCAAGGAGATTCAGAAAATGGTATTTTTTATTTTTTTAAAAAAATACGCGTCCTCTATGAAAGAAGCTTAAATTAATTTATATTAATATAGAATCCTCTTTAACTTCAAAAGATAAGTCAGAAGATGTTTTTTTTTATTTTAAAAAAAATGGTAACATAGTAAAATTTAAAAAAATTAATTTTTTTACATTTAAAATAGGTGCCCCTACGCGCTCCCTATTAAAGAAGCTTAATTTATAAAAAATGAACGTAGAATCACATAGAGCTTATTAAAAGGTGTAAAAAAATGTTAATATCATAAAACATAAATTTTATATAAACTATTGTAAAACAATTTATAAATAAGAAAATATAAATATTCATGGTATTTATTTGATATAGTCACTTAGGTTTTTGAACGTATAATCTAAAAAATT